TATCGAGATTTGTTGCTTTACTTAGAAGGGAGTTGTAGCCGCGTAAGCTACCTTGCTTGATTGCTTGCTTGCTTTCTTAAATGCTTGTCTTGGACCATTACGTCACACTCAGCACTACGTCACACAACCATGTACGTCACACTCGGCAGTTTTCGCCATTTATCGCCAACCTTTCCGGTGCAATCGAATATGCAATTCAAATCCAAATTATTTTAGTATCAACACAGCTTTTCTATATGTACGTTGTTTTGCTTACAGTTTTGAGCTGTTTGAACTTTGCACGTTTTACTCAAATACAATAATCAATATTTAAACGACACATATGGTCTTTTAGTGTGAAAACAGCTACAGTATTTAGACGACACCTGCAGACCACCGACAGCAGGCGATTTGTTTGTCTATAGACGATTTGTTCGTCTTCTGATGTGAAAACGGCTAATCGCTCACATTTTATGAAATTTGGAGTTAATCAATACGGCGGATGCGTTGCAAAACCAAATGCAATTCTTTTACCCTAATAGTAACATGTAATATTTGTAGATGTGAATGCTGTCTGGTGAAACTTTAGCATATAGCTCACATGCTCAATCAGTTTCTGTAAACATAAGTAGAGGCAGGAACGCAAAACAAAAGGCTGTGTCATTCTACCTAAAATTATGCTTCGGCCGAAGAGGTCTGAACGTGATCCCAATTATTTCATACATCAGCATTCACTTTACTGTCATCATTGAATATGATCAATGAATGTGGTAATTATTCGCATGGTGAGTAAAGTAGCCTGCTCATTTGGGAAAGAATGAGCCCCTTCATTAATCATCAACAATGGACAGTGATAATATGTGCCGATCCTCACTGATCCATTGTATTCTTCTCTGACTGCATGACAAAGGATTTTATACATGCACCAATGACCTCCGGTAATAACATGGCCCATTCTTTGGACTACAGTAGTGTCAACCACGCGCTTTAGTATAAAAAGTCACACCCTGTTTACCGTGCTGATTCAGTGAATCAGTTTAATCAGACGATATTCATGGCTTCGCGAAGAAATAATCCGGCCGTAATTGGCTACATCCACAACCTGTCACCTTTGAAAAAAGGTGAAAAAACTTAATGGTGCGACTTCGAACTGCAAATGCAAGACAAACGGGTACAACTATTAGCACTAGCTATTCTGCCAGCTAAATCCATGATACAGCTCAGATGACAAAGACAGAGCGGTAGTCACATGTACGCGCTGCGTACCTATTTTTAACGTACGATGTGCTTCTGAATGTCGCGATCGAACAACAAGGCTCGCAAGGCATCTACATGAATATGAACTGTATTGTTTACGTTCAGAAGCTTTATATTGAAGACTGGCACGTGCGCGGCACGCCGGAGTAAACGCCAGGACAGGCGTCTTGTTTATATTAAAATATAGTAAGCTCGTAAACAGGGGAAAATATGCGCGCAAACATACTCACGAGAAAGGAAACCGCCTGTCTCACATGCTAACGCAAACAGACGGAAGAATGGGGGCAGTGTGGTTAGAAAGTTAATTAATCCCGTTGAGGGGAAAAACATCCCGGGACGTGCATAAATCGATGTAAAATCGCATAATATCCCTTAGCTTTAGTATAAATATAAATATAAGTAGAGTTGTAAACTTTGGGAGATTTGTTATTAGTTGTGTTGTGTTGTCACCGTAACGTCGTGTTGTGTATCGACGTGCACTACGTGTGTAAATATGGATTGTATTAATCTACTAATTACAGTATTATTAAAACGTAAAGGTTGTAACATGTCTGCAAACAAGTTGTTACAAGCCTGTTCACAAGCTGGCAACAAGATTTCCACGCACTGTTTGCTCCAATTTGTTGTAACAACTTGTAGCAAGTCCGACGGCATTATCAGACTTGTTTCAAGATTGTTTTTACAAATCCGATACAGTTATGATATAATAACGTAGCAATATTGTTAGACCATGTTTGTACCAGACTTGTTGGAACAGCCTTTTGACTTTTAACAAGTCTTTTGATTCAACAAGTCCCCTCATACTTTTCCACAGCTTGGCACGTGACAACTTGTTTGCAGACTTGTTACAAGATGTGATATTTTTACGCGTCCTGACACTTCCAGGTCTATTGTTCTTGGTGTTGAAAAGTAACATTGTAACTCCAACTTATCATAATAAAAGTACTTTAAACGACTCTATTCTTAAGAGCCATGGTGATACAAGCTTGAACATACATTGACTAGTCCAGCCATCAATGTCTACTCAAATCAAAGTTCGCCAGCTCAGTTCTAGTTTACAAGCAGATTGAACTTTATTCTAACGGCTTTTTATCCCCCACTGAGAGCCGCTTTTCAGGCTATTCCCTTTTGAGGAATTTTCCCTTTATCTCATTTTCGGTTTCCCCCATTCCCCGATTCCCCCCATTCACCGATTCCCCGATTGCCCAATTCCCCATTTCCCCCATTCCCCGACTGTTCCATTTCCCGATTCCCCGTTCCCCCTTTTAAAGATAGCCGGATGTGTGTGTGTGTTTGTGTGATATACGAAAGATGTCGATGATGTTCGTTTTACGATTGCTTATGGTTCTTCTATACTTCCGGAAAATTTCGTTGTTTTCGAAGGATGGAAGCAAACTAAGGTACGCTTTGTCAAATTTTTAAGCGAAGTTGAGTACTTTAAAGACGAAAAAGCGGTGATTGGTAAACGTTGAATCTACAACTACAAAGTTACACTAATAGAAAATAAATAAAACATTACCTTATTCGGCAAATGGTAGCAACAAGTTGTCCTGTTTTATAAATTATAATACAATGTTTCACCTGTCAATTTCTTGCTTGTGGACATGCAGCTATTAAACCAAATGCTTTGGAGTTTAAAAAGAAGCTTTTATTTGAACATAACTAACAAAACATATTTTTTTAAAAAACAGAACTTTTATCACAAGTGCATATCAACGGAACAAAAATTTTTTAAATATTGTTCAGATAAATAGATGAGTCCTTTAAAATTGTTATGCTGAAATGTTTGAAAACATTTTGGACTCTTTGTTATAATTACGTGACTGTAAAATGATCTGGCAGATCAAGTAGTTTATCCTCAATGAACCAAAACGTTTAACAAAAGTGCATTTCAACTGATCAAAAATCTTTAGAATATTGTTCAGATACATAAATAAGTCCTTAAAAATTGTTAATGAAACGTTTGAAACAATTTTGGACTCTTTGTTACATGTGACTGTAAAATGATCTGGCAAATCAAGTAGTTTATCCTCAATGAAATCTTTGTTAAGATATTTCTCCTTCTAAACTAAGCTTTATGTTATCAGACGATGTGTGCCACCATCCCGGAACCTTACTCTCCTTTTTGTTCTGTTCACCTAGCTATTCTGCTTAAAAAAAATTCATTTCCGATCTCTTGTAAAAATGCTTTTATTTATGTTTTGATCTGTCGTAAAATGTATTTAATACAATAAAATATTATAATATATAGATTGTGTAATAAATCAACTTCGTTATAACTGTATTCAACCAGCTAACTACTGTATAGGGCGTTTATTCCGTTGTCTATGGCATTAGAACATAAGACTAGAAAATAATATTTTATTGCATCAGTTGATATTTACTCGCCACTACTGTATAGCAGCTTCATCGCAATTAATAATGTTTTATAGGCAACCCACATGTACGCATTGCGTACTTATTTTTTATAAGCTATTGTTGTACCAAATAAGAAAAAAGGAAGTTCTGCTTATGTATGGTTACTCAGGATAAAAAAGCTGTATAATAGCGGAGCTCATGATAACACGTCTGGCTATAGTACACTCACTTCACTCGATGCACGTAAATTCTAGGGTTTAAGGTGTCTTAACTTCGAGTGAAATTATACATACTTCAAATTCAAGCCAGGGACAGTTTAAGGGAAATGAGTCAACTATAGGTTCTCCGGCTGGAATCAAACCTACGCTTTGGCCATGTCGATGCAATGCTCTTGCCACTGAGCTGGAGAGGTAGCTGACAAGAGAAAGGAGTAGTTATATGGGTATAATATGATGGTAATGCCGGGAATAGGTGAGGGTAAATCAATTATGATTTTTGGTACTTCACTCGATGTTGGTAAATTCTAGAAGTTTAAAGGTCTTCAGTTGGAGTGGAATTATAAACACTTCAAATTCAAGCCAGGAACAGTTAAAGGAAAAATAAGTCAACTATCGGTCCACCAGCAGGAAACTCCACTAGAAAATTAAGACCCTTTGAACCTCTATGTGTAGTATTAACTGACCTATACAGTATAACAGTATTTAAGCTGTAAAAATGCTATATTGTGTCCAGAAATGCTTAAAGGAGGTGTAAAAAGGCTTTTCCTTTAGCAATTTTGTTTTGAAGTACCATCCCAAAAATTGTATCCATGAAATATTTTGTGAGAAAAATCTTTAGGTCAATTTAAACAATAATTTACAGTTTACACGTGTTCCTGATAAACTAGTATCTACAAAAATATAGTCGCTTTTAATGCGTAGAAAGACAAATTATTTAGGGGTTTACCTTAAAACAATTTAAAGAAAAATGATTAAAATATTTCCGTGCAGGAGCTTGAAACTGACGTATACTATCGCGCTTCAAATTTACGCCATCTTTGGCTTCACTTTTTCCACCTAAAGTTCTCACTACAGATATATGTGTCATATTATCGTATCCAAACTCGTGTATTGAGTACAATTCAATACAGAAGAAGTGAGAGAGATTATTTACAACAAGCTAATATTTATACCTAACTACATTACCCATCATGCACGGGGCACGAGTTACACAGGGCACCTATGTAGATAACGTTACATCCTTCCTTTTTTTTCTTTTACTTTTTTTTTTGAAGATTTTCTTGAGAAATAGTTCTACAATATGTGTGCCTATGTAATAGGGTTCCAAATAATCTATATTGTTTTTCTAAAGAGTTCATAATGAACTGACAAGCAATGTTCTCAGCCTTATAACGGACTAATCCAATCCTAGCCTAGGCAACTTGGCGGTTTGAATACTCGGCCACTCCTCGTCACTCCACTGATGGCTTTCCCAGGGCTAACAACGGGCTGCTGCGGAACATGTTGGACCTGCAACTTTGGCGGCGTTAATGGAGGTGGTGTTGATGATGGTGACACATGTGGAGATTGTTTGTCTGGCGGATAAAACTGTTCCTTAGAAGCACGCAAATGTTTACGATTTCTCCTGAACTGCCTGCCATCCTCAGTTATCACTTCATAAGATCTGATACCCGCTTCTCTAGTTACTTGACCTTTTATCCATTTCTTCTCTCGATCATTTGGTTGAGGGGTAATTCGCACCACTTGACCTTCTTTCAGCGTTGGAAGCTCCTTTGTCTGCCTGTTATAATAGGATGCTTGTTTCTCCTTCCTTGTCAGAATTTGTTTTCTTACATCAACTGGCGCTGGTTGTGGCTTTAGTAATGGTTCAGCAGTCGGTAACTGTGTCCGAGTTCTCCGTCCAAACATTCTTTGAGCTGGGGACGTATCCATGCCTTCCGTAGGAGTGTTTCTCCAGCTAAGCAACGAGATAAAATACTCCATACATGCCTCTTTGCTTTTCTTCATGAGGTTCTTGGCTGTCTTGACTGCATTTTCGGCTCTTCCATTGCTCTGAGCATGCAATGGTGAACTGGTGATGTGCTTAGTTCCTGCAAACCTCATAAAGTTAGTAAATTCAACTGAGTTAAATGGGGGACCATTGTCACTACAAAGTTCATTAGGAATTCCATGAGTAGAAAAGTGTCTCTTCATCTTGGAAATTACACTTTTACTTGTTTTGCTACTTAATGGGTCTACTTCAAAATAACCGCTATAGTAATCGACTGTGCACAAAAAGTCTTTACCGTCTATCGTAAAAATGTCAGTGGCAATCTTCTTCCAGGGTCTGTCTGGAATCTCGTGATAAATAAAGAGCTCCCTAGCTTGACTTGTACTTGATGATAGACAGATGTCACACTTACTAATGTAATCAGTGAGTTCAGCATTCATACCTGGCCAATAGACTAGTTCTCCAGCTCTCCGAAGACATCCTTGCACCCCAATGTGTGACTCATGCAATTTCAACATAATTTTGTGTCTGAGAACCACAGGAATAATACAACGTAGCCCTTTGAAGATGATGCCATCGACTACAGACAATTCATCTCGAATACCAAAATATGGATGGATGCTTGCTGGTAGACTGTCTTTGGAATTTGGAAATCCATCTAAAATTACCTTCTTGAGTAATTGCAATGTTGGATCTGCTGCAGTTTTCTGCTGTAACTCTTTCATCTGGTGGTCAGGAATTGAAAAAAACTGTGCTGCATGGATATGCTCTGTCTCTACTTCAGTTTTAGTAGGTATGTGGTCTTCTAGATATGCTCGACATAACGTATCAGCCACGACCATATCTCTGCCAGGCTTGTAGCGAATTTCATAGTCATACTGTTGTAACCCCAAAAGTAACCGCTGGAGTCTCTTTGGCGCTGTGACTAGTGGTTTCTGCGATATGGAGACAAGCGGCTTGTGATCGGTCCATAAAATAACCTTACGACCATACACATACTGATGATTATGTTCCATACCAAACACTTGTGCTAACAGCTCTTTCTCGATCTGTGAATATCGCTGCTCTGCCAAATTCAGAGCCCGACTTGCATATGTCACAGGTTGTCCCTTCTGCATGAGAGCAAACCCGAGACCATTCTGTGAAGCATCTCCCTGTCCCTCAGTTGCATCAGTATCGCTGAAATACTTCAGAACTGGAGCTTTAACAACTGCTTCCTTTATACGCTCGAAGGCGTCCTCTTGCTCTTCTGTCCAATTCCATTCTGCATCCTTGTGTGTCAGCTGACGCAAAGACTCGCTCATTCCAGATAAATCGTTTAGGAATTTTGACAGGTACTTCACAAGACCAAGGAATCGCAATACTGCTGGAACATCATTAGGTCGCTTCATTCTCTGGATCGCTTCCACTTTTCTAGGATCTGGTTTCAACCCTTCTCTTGTGATTAGGTGGCCAATAAAGGACACTTCCCTGGATTTGAAAATCAGCTTATCCTTGTTTAACTTGACATTCTTTGCTCGACATCGTTCAAACAGCGTTGTCAGATGTTGGTCGTGGTCACACTCTGCCTCTTCATCGGTGTCTCCCTTTCCAATGATGAGTAAATCATCAGCTATCTTATACACCCCTGGCAATCCTTCAAGGCATTGATCAAGCTTCTGCTGAAAGCACTCGGAAGCTGGGCAAATTCCATAGGGCATGCGGAGCCAGCGATACCTACCCCATGGTGTCTGAAACGTAGTAAGCTTGCTAGAATCTTCATCCAACTGGATCTGTAGATACCCATCTTTGAGATCAGCCTTTGTGAAAAACTTTGCTTTGTCTAACTCTGGGAGAATCTCCTCAACAACTGGAAGGGGATAATGTCTACGCTTCAGTGCGGTATTTAGATGCTGTGGGTCAATACATACCCTTACTTTTTCATTTGGCTTGGCAGATGCTACAAACCCAGACACCCATGCTGTTGGTTTCTCTTTTTTCACTAAGACGTTAAGGGCTTTAAGGCGATCAAGCTCTTCTTTTAACTCGGGTTTCACAAAAATTAGGACACGGCGAGGTGGCATCACAACTGGAGTCACTGTTTCATCCACGTCTAGATGAAGTTTGCCTTCAATCTTACCCAAACCTGTAAATAGATCTGCATACTTTGACAATACATCCTCTTTACTTAATCTCTGAGATGTTACTGCTTTACTACAATCCATATGTAAGATATTTTGGTGTTGAATGACTAACAGTTCCATCTTTTGAGCTGTTTTGACTCCTAACAGGGGGATGGACCCATCTTTAACAATCAAAAATTCTTCAAAGTACTTACAATTGTTCTTTGGGTTACTAATGTTCAACACTGCCTTGCCTAGTACTTCAAGCTTTTACTCAGAATAGGTAAATAAATTTCTATTGGTTGGCTGGACCTTGACATCTTTAGGCAAATAGGAATGCGGTAATACATTGCATGTTGCACCAGTGTCAATTTGCATCTTTAGGCAAATAGGAATGCGGTAATACATTGCATGTTGCACCAGTGTCAATTTGCATCTGTATTATCTGGTCGCCCAATTGTATACCTGCACATACACAATTCCTCCCCGGGACTGTACTTACTCGTTCTGTAATTGACCAAACCCCATCATCAGTGGACTGATCAGTTTCCTCATGAACTTATTGTGTTTTAGATCTGCCAGTTTGTATTGTCTTTGGCCCTCTTTCTTGTCTTTTTGGTTGCTGACAAACAGAACTAAAGTGATGTTTCATTGAGCAGTTATTGCATGTTTTATTGTAGGCTGGACATTTTTCTTTCTTACGCTCATGTCGCCTGCCACAATATTTACAATCAGGACATGATAACTCCGGTTTTCTTTGGCTATTGAATTGGGGCTTCCCTTTTGGTTTGAGTGCATGTGTAGACTCTGAAGTGTTGTGCGATATTTGCTTCTGTTGATTGTTTGCTGCTTCGGCTGCTCTGTATATGTTTAAACATTTTTCTAAGGTTAAACTGGTTTCTTGTAGCAATTTCTTCTGCAAAGTATTGTCACGTATTCCGCATACTATTCTGTCTCTAACTAACTCCTCCTTAAGGGCTCCAAATTCGCATGTGTCAGCTAAAGTACGAATGACTGTCGCATATGTGTCTATTGTCTCTCCTTGTTGTTGAAATCTGTTGTGAAATTTGTACCGCTCATAAATAGGATTTGTCTTACCTATGCAGTAATTGTTCCATAGTTCTATTATCTTCGTAATGTCTTGTCTTTCCTTGTCACTTCGGAAAGGTAAACCATTATGAATTTCCATGGCTTCAGGACCAATACACGTGATAAACGTAGCAACTCGATATTTTTGGTCGCGTTCGGCGAGGTTTGTGATTACTTCGTATGCTTCCCAAGTCTGACGCCAGTTCTTCCATTTTTTCGCTAAATTACTATTTATTATTATTATTATTATTTGAGGTTTATTAAAAACTTCTTGCGGCATAAGCTGAATTACAAGTTGAAAGGAGTAATATTACAAACATATTACATTTCGAACTTACTATCATACGGTTAAAAAGTCCTGAAGGAAAACTAAAACAGTTCAATTCAGGTATATCAATGATACCTTAAGGGTTCTACACTATATAGAAAATATAGTTACTTATCAATTGTATTTACAAGTTACGAAGTTTAAAAATCTATCAGTATTTATAGAGTTTAAACAACTTGGTTCATGTATCTGCCGTAAATAATATTCATGGTTAATACCAGCACTATTATTATTATTAAGAATTTCCTTCAAGGGACCAGCTAGCTTATTAGAGAGGTTTAGCAAACACGACGCGACGTCAAGTAGGACGTCATTTTTGCGGGCGGGGTCTGAGTCTAGAACGCCACCACGTCGTAAACAAAATGTGATTTAGCACACTCTTGAAGAACGGTCGTAGCAGAAAAGATTTAAGTCGAATAATTATCGAATTTATTTCGATTCTCTATGTTTTCGGTGTCTAATATGGATAACATCGTTGGCAAACTTTTTTGGCTGTTCCGATGTAAATAAACCTGAATTAGGCCGGAAAGGCGTAGGAAATATCATTTGGAAAAAGTAAGTACTTCAGCTTTTTTATTTATAATATATTGTAAACCATTGACATGTACTAGAAAAGGTCACTGAATACACTGATTGAAGAACATTTTTGTCCTTCTGACATTGCATAGCAGATGTAGATGGTTGCTCTCTGTATTCTTTCGAACTGATTTCGAATATATTTTAAATTTTGAAAATTCTTGCGAATTTAACGGGGTTTAAATAATTGTATTTTTGCATGTCTTGTACTTGCACTCAAATGAAAATGGCAACAATTAGTTTGCAAGAATTTCGCGATCAGCTTACACTTGCCTATTTATCGGATGTGATTGATATGGAAGAATATGTCTATCTTTATGCAACAAACCAATCACGAGAGATTTTTCCATATTGGAAATTTGATAAATTTGAGTTTGAGAATTGGGATGATACGGAGTGTTACAAAGAGTTGCGCTTCAGAAAAAATGATACAGCAAGCTTATTAATCTGTCTTGGCATTCCGGAGAAAATTGTGTGCTCGCAGCGAACCACATGTAGTGGGTTGGAGGGATTATGTATTCTTCTCAAAAGATTGGCCTACCCTTGTCGCTATACTGACATGGTCAGCAGATTTGGTCGTAACCCCAGTGAAATTTGTTTAATTTTCAACAAAATGCTCAGCCTGGTCTTCAATACACATCATCATCGCCTCGAAAGTTTAGAGCAACCATTTCTTTCTCCTGAAAACCTTAGCAGGTATGCTGACAGCATACACAATCATGGTTCCCCTCTGTTAAACTGTTTTGGCTTTATTGATGGGACTGTGCGAAAGATTGCAAGGCCAAACAAAAATCAGAAGTCAATGTACAATGGGTATAAAAGAGACCATGCAATAAAATTTCAGAGTGTTGTGGTGCCAGATGGTTTGATTGCAAATCTGTCTGGGCCATATGAGGGGAAACGGCATGATAGCACCATGCTTTATCAATCCGGGCTGCTTCCATTATTGGAACAGCATGCTGTGTACAATGGGATCCCACTCTGTCTTTATGGTGATCCGGCATACCCACTTGGTGTCCATCTGCGAGGGCCATTTAAAGACCGGCAACTCACCCCAGATATGGAGTTATTTAATAAATCAATGAGTTCAGTGAGAATTTCAGTTGAATGGATGTTTGGCAGCATATGCAATTATTTTGCTTTTATCGACATGAAGAAACAACAAAAAATAAACCTGAGTGCTATTGGAAAGAATTACATTGTTTCTGCTTTGCTTCAAAATGCCCACACATGCTTATATGGAAACATTGTGTCTGAATTCTTTGAACTGTCCATTCCAATGTTAGAACAATATTTTTCATGAAGAGCACAAAACAATTTATAACTTGTTAAATTTATTACCAACCCAAAACAATTTATAACTCGTTAAATTTATTACAAGCTGTTAAATGTATTTATTATTGAATAATAAAGGAAGTTAATGTTATACGGGTCTTCGTATCGTAGTGTCTCGGGTCTTAGGACGCTTGTCCGGTCGGCTACTTGCCCCCTCCGGTGAGTATAAATATGAGCTCAGTTTGCCTGATCGAGTTGTTAGTTGCTTGCGTGAATCGATGCCGTCACAACCTTGTCCAAAAAAATCATTTCGCTAAAATGGCTCAGGGAAATATGTCTCTTCAAGGAGTTGCTTTGAGTTTAACGCCAACTAGCTCACCAGTCGTGTATGCTGTTACAACTTCAACAGTGGCATTGCAGTTGATCGCTACGGCTCCCCTTGCCGTTCGCTCGTCGCCATCTCGGCAATTTCAGCCAAGTTTACACCAGCATATTGCTTCACCGTTATTCCCAACTCGTGTTCCATCGCCGGCTATGGCAAATCAACAAATCGTCAGTGTTGCTTCTACTTGGCCATCGAGTCATCCAAGTTTAATACCATTTTTTTTGCTCAGCAGCCACCACAACCCGTGTTACTTCAATCAGCGACGCCTACGGTTCCCCAACAACAAGATCGAGCCGTAGCTGGACATTGGCAACCGCCTCAACAGACGCTGCAGCAGCCGTTGTATCGGATTCAAAATCCTGTCCCTTCAGGTACGCCATATTTGTTTTCATCGTCTACGTCCCCGGGCCCCGGGATGGGGTTTGTTTCGCCGGGTGTTTTAGCCTCTGGTGGTATTGCCTCGCCCCCTCGCTTCTCTACGCTTACCGCATCTCCCCTCGTGGTCGGGCCTGGTTTCTCCCCTCGTGGTCGGGCCTGGTTTTCCTCCGGTATCCCCGAAGCTTATGGCATCAATTTTCAACGGCGAGTTTGTCGAGTTGGCCTCTCTTATCGAAGAAACTTCAGTTCATGACGCTCCTTCGTTTACCATCGGGGATAACGAATTAGTTTTGCGACCGTCAAAGCGCCCTAAGGAAATTACAGATATTCTGACTTGGCTCCAAGCCTTTTCTGTTTATATCCTCGTGATGACGAATTTTTGGCGGTCTCGCTCCCCGGATTTGCTTCGCTACCAGCTACTTATTTTGCGCTCCGCTCAGAAGCATCCTGGCTCGAGGAGGATCGCGTACGATCGCGCTTTTCGTCGCCATGCAGCTGCTCTCCGCCTCACCGATTGGTCACAACTCCACCCGGAGCTGTATAATTTTCATATATTCGGCGCCGGGATTTCTTCTACTCCTGCTTCGCGGGTATCTACTTCGTTTTCCTCGTCCTCCAGCTCCCTTGAAGCGTCCGGTACTCCGTCGTCGTCCATTATTTGTCACTCTTGGAACTCTGGTCGGTGCTCATCGCAATTCCTCCGGTGTCGGTTCCGTCATGCCTGTGATTTTCCGGGTTGTCCTGCAATCCATCGTCGTAGCGTGGCCCACCAGTCTACACGTCGTCCTCGTTCACCATCTCGCTCGCAACCCACGAAGTAGCGTCTATCATCAGACACCTCGCGTCGTTAGTTAATACGTAGTCGGTAGTAGTTAATACGTGGTCGGTTTGTTTGTCGCTGTTGTTCCGGACGTTAACATTGTTCTGTGCGCTATTTTAGTTTTTTTTGTAATTCGTGTTCGGTTATGAATTTGCTGAATAAAATAGTTATCTAGCTTCATTTGTGATTTAGTTGCGCAATGTTCGTACCGGTCACACCGGTCGCACCGATCGCACTGGTCGCACCGTTCG